CCACCAAAGCCCTGCTGTAGTGACAGCTGTAAAGGAGGAGGCTCCGAAGGAGCTGCGAAGGTGCAGCCCAAGCCCGCCTGCTCGGCAAACAGGGAAGTTGGTTGTGCAGCTGCAGCCACGCTGCTGGCACGTCCGAAGCACGAACAAGTCTTTATGGGTTAGGTTCACCCTGTGAGTTACTGCCTTTAGGGTACTCTTAAAAGCAATTGTTACACCCTGTAAGCGACCTGCATCGAGGCTTAGCAAGCTGAGAGATCAAAAGCATGTTGGCATCGCCATCTGCCTCCTCGCTGGGCTGTAAAGGGCGTTTCAGCCATCCTGTCTCTTCTCTTTGCAGCTGCAGAGCTACTTCGCTGCCTGCGAAGACGAGACGCCGGCCATCCGAAACCATGACAAGGTCCTGCAGCGGCTCTGCGAACACCTGGACCATGCTCTGCTCTACGGGTGAGCGCGGAGCCTGCCGCGGGGGTGCTCTTCACCGTACCTGGTGTGGCACGTAGCCTCAGCACGGGGAAGCCATCTAAACAGTAGTTGGGATGAACATAACAAAGTCCCTCCTTACCCTTCCTCTGGGCTTCTTCCTTCCTCCAGCCTGCAAGATCTTTCCTCGGGCTACTGGGTGCTGGTCGTTCACTTCACCCGCCGCGAAGCCATCAAACAGATAGAAGTGCTTCAACACGTGGCCACCAACCTGGGACGCAGTGAGTATTCGCAGGCGCTGCGCCGGCTCTGAGGGCAAAGCTCCGTTTGGAGACGTGGCAGGAGGCCCAGGCAGGTGGTGCTGGCTGAGTGTTCGAGGGCTGGAGCTGCAGGCAGCTCCCCGCTGAGTCCAGGGCGCTCTGCTCAGGCCGAGGAGGTGGGCGTCCTGCCGTAACCACGTTTCTGCTCTAGAAAGAATTGCGCTGCGTCTCGGGACCGGGTGCTGGGGCAGAGATGTAGCCCTGCTTCTTTCTCCTGCCATGAAACCAAAGCGACCTGCTGGGCCGTGCTCCAGGAGGGGTCTCTGGCAGGTGGGAGGCATCACCTCTCGCTCCAGAACGTCTCGCTGTAGCTGTTGTTTGCCTGATGCTGCTTCTCCCCTGCTGTGAATTTTCTGAAGCGGGTGTTTGGGACCACCGACGCCGCTTCTGACACAGGACGGTGCCCAGAGACCTCTCTGCCTGATTATCCCAACCCGCTTCACCTCCCAAGCCCCGTACCGGTGAGAGCAGAGTTAAGCGCAGACTCCACCGTCCCCTCTCCCTGCAGCAGAATGTGTGTAATATCTCAAATTGCACCTGCGCTGATTCAGAGCGATTCTCCCTCCGTCTCTCCCATCTCCTGGGAATGCCAGCAGGGCTCCCATCTCGCTGGAGAGACGCAGTTCTGCGTTTGCTTCTCAACCGGCCACCAGACGCCGCAAATCTGACCCTTCATCTCCTGCTGACACTTTTCCCCACAGACTTCCCCAAGGGTCAGTCGCTCCCCTGGAATGATGCAAATGAACGATCTGATGTGTTTTAACTGATTTGTGATTATTTCCAGGCTTGCTTCGTCTCTTAGGTGTTTCCCCACAGATAAACCTCTCTGCTGCTTTCTTTGCAGGCCGGGCATGGCTGTACCTAGCCCTCAACGAAAACTCCCTAGAGAGTTATCTGAGGCTGTTCCAGGAGAACCTCAGCCTGCTGCACAAGTACTATGTCAAGTGAGTATCCCAGCTGCTTCCTCTTTGGGCACTGACTGGCGTCCCTTCTTGACAGCAGTAAGCCCTAATTGGCCTGTGGAGCTGCTGAGCTCTTGTTCAGGGATCCAGCTCTGCTGGATGCCTGGAAATCTGGCCGTAGCTCTGTTTGGGGACAGCACACAGGGGATGCGCGGCCTGCTCTGAGCCACACGTATCTGCCCTTGAGCTCTGCCATTGCTCTCAGCAGGCAAACAGCAGGCTCACAGCTCTGGGGCTGCTTACACAGCAGCTTGGAGACACGCCACCAAGAAAACAGAAGGGTGCTTGTAGCTATTTCTTCTCCTTCCCACATTTCTGAAGCTCTTCTGTTTCATCCATGCTGCAGGAACGCCCTGGTTTGCAGTCACGATCATCTGACCTTGTTCTTAACGCTGGTGTCCGGGCTGGAGTTCATCCGCTTTGACTTGGATCTGGTGAGTGTTTTATCTGTTTCCCTTGGCTCTGGGAGAGCAGATGTGTGGAGCAGGGGTTGTCCTGGGTGCGACAGGTCCTGCCGCTTGGTCCAGGGCGTACCTTCTGGTTGGCCTAGGGGTGAAAACGCGAAGCTGCCACTTTCAGGAAAGGCTGGAGGCTGGGATCTTTGGAGATCCAGCAACGGGATTTATTCCTACTGCTCAGTTATTCCTCTGCACTGAAGAGGAACGAGGCAGGTGCAGGGCAGATTGATGGGGATAAAGGAGTTGAGCTCTGCAAGCGTGGTACGAACGACTGGCGTCCCTCCAGGCAGACACAAAGCCGCTGGCTAACCCTCAGAGCCATCGGGTTTCCTCTGGAAGGCAGCAGAAACAGCCAGGCGGGGGACATCCCAGGACAGCCCCATCGTTTCAGCTGTGCCCGTAACTGTGCAGTGACCTGGAGCCTGACTCGCCCCTCCGCTCTCTTCTCTGCAGGACGCTCCTTACCTGGATCTGGCCCCGTACATGCCAGATTACTACAAACCTCAGTACCTGCTGGACTTTGAGGATCGCCTGCCCAGCTCCGTGCACGGCTCGGACAGCCTGTCCCTCAACTCCTTCAACTCGGTCACCTCCACCAACCTGGAGTGGGACGACAGCGCCATCGCTCCGTCCAGTGAAGGTCGGTGGTTCTGGGGAGATGGGTACGGTGGGGGCCGTGTGTCCCACACCTCCCGCGCCTGAGCTGCTGGGCCGGGCGAGACACCGAACGAGGTAGCGAATGACGGGCTGTGAGAGGCCGAAGTGAGAGGCCCAGGCTGTGAGTCTCCCCTGTCTTGCCTTGGGAGGCGCTGGGATTTAAGCTGTGGACATCCCCTCTGCCTCAGAGCAGGAGAGAAGGCAACGTCACCTCGGGCTGCGTTTCCATCCTGGGAGTGGGTTTTGGCAAGAACTGGAGAAATCTTCCCATGGAGTGAAAATTGTGTCTGCATCTGAACGTCGCCTCCAGTTCAGAGCAGGCAGGCAGGGCTGCAGGGACCTTTTCTAGCTGCTTATTGCGTGGTCCAGAGACCCAGATCGGCTGGAGGTGTTGGGGAATAGTTTCCAGAGTCTTTTCTCCATGTCTGCAGTCTGAGGGAAAGGTCTCAGAGGTGCTGGTTTTTCCTCTTTATCTGACTGAACTTGAGCTGCCAGATAAGCTGTCCCACTCACCCCCTTATCCCTGTCAGGGAGGGCTGGATGCTGCTCCTGATGACCTGAGAAGACACGTGCCTTGTGCCTGCCCCCTTTACCTGCCTCAGGCTGGAGCAGGGAGCTCGTATCCTGAACAAAGCACGTTCACGTGAAGGAGCAGCTCTGGGGCTGCTGCTCCTAATCCAAAACACGTTGGCCCTCTTCCTCTTCTGATGCCAGTTTGAACAAAGATCAGGGGATGCTGGAATAGATGGGGTGATGCTGCCGTTACCTGGATGTGGTGAATTCAGGACTGACTCGGCATTGGGATGGGTTCCCTCGGAGCCACGGGTCCGCCGGTTGCCTTTTACGCACAAGGTAGAAGCTGCAGGCATTAAAGATGCTGAGAGGGAGCGGCTCAGGGTGGGCGTTAGCATCGTTCTGGCAACGGGCCTTGAAGTACAGCACAGGTTTGGGCTCGCTGCGACGTCTCCACTTGTGCTGTGAGCGTGAAAGGGTTTGCTTTCGGGGACGCGCTCGTGTCAGACTCCCAGCATCCCAGGTAAGTTGGAGCCAAGCAATGGAAGTCACGGGAGGAATCTTTGCCCCCAGAGGTCTGGCATAAGCAGCCATTCAGTGCCTGCTGCACCTCCTGGGCCTGTATTCCCATTCCTGGCTCAGCAGCACGTGTCTTGGTGCCAGCACGTCAAGGGGTGTCACTTGCCTTTGGCTACGTTCTCCAGCCCGTCGGGTGGGTGGAAGCTTAATGCTCGAGAGGGGGTTGGAGTAGAGATCCAGGAGATCCTGCAGCTAGGTGTTGGATTTGGCATCGTCACAAGCCAGTCCATGTGCGCGGGCAGAAGTTGTGACCTTCTGAGGAGGGTGGAGGGGTCTGAGGGGTCTGGAGGAACTTCCATAACCACTTCACTGCTCGTCATTTCAACAGGGGCATCTTGCTACCCTGGGAGTGTGGGTGGAGTTGGGGATTTTAGGATCAGAGGACAGGTTTTTCCCTTTAGTCAGACCCCTGGGTCTGCAAAGATGAATGAGTTAAATGTCACGGTGTCTACGGGAGGTAAGTGCAACAGGTGGCAACTGAAGCACAGCGGGATTAAATCACTTCCCAGGGGGATCCCTGCTAGGTGCACAAGCCCTGGATGGCACCGACTTGTCCTGGTTTAGCTTTCCAGCAGCTTGTGTCATGGGGCCTTCATCCTCGGCTGGTCGTGCTGTAGCTCCCGTAACGCAGACACCCACCAGGAACAACCCTTGGTGCAGCTGGTTTCCATTTGCATCCGTGTTCCCCAAGTATTTTTCCCATGCGTTTCAGATAGCGGTGAAAGATTGTTTTGTTCCTTTCCCATCTCCTTCCCCAAATCCCTCTCACACTCTCCCCTGTCCCCCCCCACCCCCTTCCCACTACTTGTATTTCTAACCCTGAGTTTTATCCCTCGTTTTTGTAGATTATGATTTTGGAGATGTCTTTCCAGCAATGCAGACCATGCCCAGCAGAGACTGGGAAGGTGGGACAAACTCATCTGTTACAACATTCCGGTTTTCTCTCTGCATTGCTGCCCACCTCACGCTTGCTGCATGCTCCCCGGGTCCGTTCTTTAACAAGCAACCACCACATCGCGATGGAATTCGGTAGAGAGGGGCGGAAACGATGCCCCGGAGGGGAGGCTGTGCGTCTCGCCTGGGAGACCACGTGCCAAGCTTTCCCCAACTCCTGCTGTGTGCCGCAACGCTCACCTGGCCGTACATCTCGGAGCGGGGGGGATGTTTTCCTGCCTCTGGCAGTGCCTCCGTGTCTTCTAGACGTGTCTGCCCCGGCGCTCGGCTCAGCGGGGCTGGAGTTTCGAGTGCAGTTCGGTGGCTGCTCGATACGTTACGGCGGCCTGCGTGGTTAAAGGGGCCTTTATGCCAGGTTTCCAAAGAAAGCTGGAAAATGGCCCCCGCCGCGAAGCTGGCAGGCGGGGATCGGCGGCCATCCAGAGTGGCCGTGATGGTGCCAGCCAACCTTACGCCGTAGGCTTCCTCTCGGGGATAAAGCACGCAGGGTGCTGGCTGACAAAGGGATCCAGCTTCAGTGATTTCCTGAAGCCCTGGAAAACAGCCGAATTCATTTTACTTTCTTTAATTTTGGGCTTTTCACGGGAGGCTTTGTTCTGCTTGGACCCCGCTCCTCCTGTATCAAACCCTCTCCCTTGAAGCCACAACACCCAGCACATCCCCGTGCGCGATTGGGTCACCGCGCTTTTTTTAAAATTTGATTTTTACCCCTTTCAAAAGCTGCTTGTCAGCTACGTCTGGCCTTCACGGTCAAGAGCACGTGCCTGTTTCAGAGGAACTTGTTCTTCCTCCGCCTGCAGTCCCTGTGTGCATCCTTTACGTGCCGCGGGAGCGAGAGGCCTCTCCGCTTTACCCCCGGTGGAAATACGCCCAGCTCTGCCCTTTGCAGCTCAAGGCGGGATGGAGCCTCGAGTCCAGAATATTGGGAAATTCTGCCTGAATTCCATGTGGATTGCTCTTGGGCTCTAACACGCTCCCTCTCATCTTCTCTCTTACCCCACGCGCAGAGATGCTCGCAGAGATGGTTGAACGTGTCCCTCGAGCGTGAGCGGACACCTAGAGGGTACAAACCACGTTTCCAAACCCAACGCCCGGCAACCAACTGAACGGCGGGGGGTGGGTGCAGGCTGGGAGAAGCTGGGGGCAGATCCCTCCCGTTTCCAGAGGCATGCACGGCTCCCGCATGCAGGTCCTGGTTGCGGAGCGGTGCCGCCGCGATGCACCGACGCACCGGGCTGGGTCAGCGCGTGCCGACCAAACCTCGGCCGTAGCCGAGTTCTTGGCGTAGCCCCCTGCCAGGTTAGCTGGCTGATGCCTTCCTTGCTGCCTGTACGCAGAGCGTGAGGTTAGGAAAGTTGGGGCAATTCCATCTTTTCAGTGAATGCATTTTGGGGTAAAGCTCTGTATTTTTGCACAAAGATCGTTTGTCCCAGCCGACGGGGTTTAGGCAAAAGAAGTGACGTTCCGTTTGGTGATGCAGGCTAGAAGCCTGAGGCTGAAATAGCTTGTAAACGTCTTATTTTTCCTCCCACGTAGGCATTAAAGATCTGCCCGATGGCGGTCGCACCCTCCGCGCTGCGGGGCAGGCACTTAAGCAGGAACAAGGCAGCGGCA